CTGCAGCTTGGCTCCTGGTTTGCCAAGCTCTTGGGGGAAGGGCGGAGGGTGCCCCTGGAAGCAGTTCACATGCTGCTCCCTGGCTTTCAGGACAAGGGCGTTTGTTCTTCCGCTGGATGGTGGCAGCTACCCCCATGGGCAGGAAAGCTGGGCCCTTGGGGAGCCTATCTGGGGCCCCTTCTGCCCTCGCACGCCAGAGCGGGGAACAGCCTGGACAGGGGCCGTGCTGACTGACGGGCCTGGGCACAGCCTGTCCCTCCCCCTGGAGCCCCCGCCCAGGGCCCGCCTGGCGGCAAGGCCAGGCCGGTGACTCACGCAGGCAGTCGGGGCCATAGGCTCCAGGTGGGCAGCAGACCTTCAGGGTGTCCATGCAGAGCCACTGGAAGAAGTCAGGGTGCTGCTGCTGTCTGAGGGACACAGAAGTTGGGCCCCCCCCCTGGCTGCCGGGCCAGGCCCATCTCCAGGGAGGGGCAGCAGGGGAGCCCTGGCCCAAGCACTCACCCCTGGAACCACCAGCTCTCCACATGCTCCTCGCTCTGCTCCAGCAGCTGGTGACACGCAAAGTCCGACTTGTCGCACACGCTCTCCAGCACCTCCAGCAGGCGCGTCTCACTGCGCAGGGCAGGGCCCCCCCCCCTGGCTGCCGGGCCAGGCCCATCTCCAGGGAGGGGCAGCAGGGGAGCCCTGGCCCAAGCACTCACCCCTGGAACCACCAGCTCTCCACATGCTCCTCGCTCTGCTCCAGCAGCTGGTGACACGCAAAGTCCGACTTGTCGCACACGCTCTCCAGCACCTCCAGCAGGCGCGTCTCACTGCGCAGGGCAGGGCGAGGGTCAGCCCGGGCCCCACAGGACCCTCCCCCTGCCCTGCCTGCCCGCCCACCGGTCCCCCAGCACCTCTCCCGTGGCAGCGGAGGCTGTTTCCCATGCGTCTGCAGACACCGGGGGTGCTGGGCCTTCTCCTAAGGCCACGGCGTGACAGGGTCTGGGGCCTGCCAGCTGCTTGCACTAGGAACAAGTGAGAAGCCACGGCCCCCAGCGGAGACGCAGGGACTCACTCACCTCACCCCACAGCTCGGGGCACCAGGGACCCCTGGCGCTCCAGCCCCACGGAGCTCAGTGGGAGGGAGCAGGGTCTGGGGAGCAGGCTAGGGTCAAGAATCCCTGCTCCCAACCCTGCCACGTCTGGGGCCTGCCAGCTGCTTGCACTAGGAACAAGTGAGAAGCCACGGCCCCCAGCGGAGACGCAGGGACTCACTCACCTCACCCCACAGCTCGGGGCACCAGGGACCCCTGGCGCTCCAGCCCCACGGAGCTCAGTGGGAGGGAGCAGGGTCTGGGGAGCAGGCTAGGGTCAAGAATCCCTGCTCCCAACCCTGCCACCCGGCACTGGGCAACCGTCACGCTGCTCTGGGTGCGGGAGACAAGGACTCGCCCCCCCGGGGGAGGAGCCG